AGAGCGCCGCCGCCGCCGAGCCGCGACTGCGCAGAAGGTGGCGCGCGTGCTGATGGCGTCAAAGGCACCGCTCGCAGCGTCTTCTGGGAGCGCGCGCGTGGCTCCGGCCGCCGCAGGGCCCCTAGTCCGGTTGCGCGTCGTGCCGTCTCTCGGTGGCCAAAATTCAGGGCCGCTGACGGCGAGGTTAGCCAGGGTTGGGTCTCGGCCAGGCAGAGACGGACGGCCGGTCTTCGGCAGTCTGGAGCCTTTTAGCCCCCCTGACACAACCCCGTCGGGGCAGCAGCTGTCCTGCGACCTCCCGGCTTCCCCGATGGAGCTGGGACAGGGCAACAGAGGCCAGCAGGGGCTTGCTGAGCAGGGCAGGTGGGGCAGTCCCGCCGGCTCCCCTGGAGCCCAGCCCTGCCACGGGCCCAGGGGGTCGGGTGGGAGCCTTGGGCCTGGAGAGCGCCCTGAGAGTCAGGTAAAACACAAGAAAGGAGGTATCTTTAAGCCCCCCTGACACAACCCCGTCGGGGCAGCAGCTGTCCTGCGACCTCCCGGCTTCCCCGATGGAGCTGGGACAGGGCAACAGAGGCCAGCAGGGGCTTGCTGAGCAGGGCAGGTGGGGCAGTCCCGCCGGCTCCCCTGGAGCCCAGCCCTGCCACGGGCCCAGGGGGTCGGGTGGGAGCCTTGGGCCTGGAGAGCGCCCGCCTCCGGGGAGCGGAGCAGTCCGTGTTGCCAACTGCAGAGAAGGGAGACGTCCTAACAGTTGTCCATCAAAAGCCCTGCGGGTTCAGCGGGCGTGCCGGGCAGGCCAAGGGACCGGTGACTCCGCCAAGCTTGCAGTGGCTGTCTTAGCTCCTCCGCTCACTCCTCTGCCCGAAATAACGCGCCCAGTCCTGGGCTGCCGTCCCGAGGAGCCCTGTTGACACGCAGAGCTTTAGCCCTGAACCTAGAAACGCCCAGCACTGAGAGAGGGAACGCGGGCGAGACTTCCCGCGAGCACGGTGCCGGCCCGAACGCAACCTCCTTAGTCCAGAGCTCCTCGTCACACAGGAAAGGAGCCATTCGACGTTCTTTACTTAACATTTACACCTGGGTTTCACTTCCCTTCTTCTTTGCAGTTAAGTTTAAAACCCCGTCTAACCCAGAAGAGCTGAAGCGGGACCTCGCCGAACCCACCCCGTCCTCGAGGCCGAAAATGCTGTGGAGGCTCTACGAGGTTTGAGCTTTGCAGCTCTCCGACTCTCCGTTCCCGGCCTCCAGCGTGGACGCGTTCCCGCGCTTTCTGGCGTGAGGGGGGGGTCAGAGGACGTGCCACCGCGCAGGCGCACGGAGCCGGGGCCGCGGCGGCCATGGGCGAGGCGTGTGGTGCTGAGGAGGCCTGCCGGGTCAGTGAGGAGGCCCGGGCCGTACCCCGTGTGTCCCAGCTACCATTTGCTCCTCCTCAGGGCCTCTCCCGGTGCGCCCGCAAATGGCCTTCCGTGGCACGGTTGGGGAGGCCTAGCCCCTTCCCCACCGATAGCGTGGGGTCGGCCGGCGCAGGCAGCGACGGGCGTGGAGCGACCCGCTGGGGCGGCGGGGTGGGTGCGGTGCCCGGGCGTGCGTGCAATGTGAGACGAGTGGCCGCCGTCTCTGTGCACTCGGGAGTTTGGCTCACACGATTAGGCAGATCCGTGCTCAGTTCTGGTTCTGCTCTCATTAACTGTGCTACGTGGAGAAGGTCACTCAGCCCCCGGGCCTCAGTGTCTGGTCTGGACAACCAGGAGGGCTGGGATGAACGTTGGGTGGGATGACCCAGGAGGAGCCCAGTGAAGAGGACCTCCTTTTCCACCTGATAGCTGGGCGCTGCAGGGTTAAGAAAAAGTTGTAGGCATTTTGTTTGGCTTTTGGAAATAGGGTTCTTGTATATGCTGTTTTGGTTTTTTTTTTTTTTTTTTTTTTTTTTAGGTATCTGGATCCTGTTTTGAGGGCTGGGGCTTCAGCTCTCAAAATGTTTTTACACACACACACTTGACATCTGTATATCTCTATCAGAAGGCACATTAAGTAAAGACATCGTTTTAAAACAAGAGTGAACATAAGAGGCACAAGAGAAAAGGAAGCAAATTGATTTGGGCTGCTGGTTTTAGTCATCTAAAAAGAAATATAATAATCTTAAGATCTGCTTGTTCTTTTAGCACATGGGAACTAAAGAAGAATTTGTTAAAGTCAGAAAGAAGGACCTGGAACGGCTGACAACTGAAGTGATGCAAATTCGGGACTTCTTACCCAGAGTACTAAATGGGGAGGTACTGGAAAGCTTCCAGAAATTAAAGATTGTAGAAAAAAGTGAGTCTTACTTCATTTTTAGCAGTCATTGGTGGTGACAGTAATTTGTTTTAGCGGGCTTACCTTAGGTAAATAATTGTGAAGTAGTTGTAAATAAATTTAAAGGTCTTTTTACAGTCCTTGTAATTACATTTGGGAGAGTCAGGTAAAACACAAGAAAGGAGGTATCTTTAAATTTGTGACTTAGACGTATGTAGGTTGGTGTTGGAGGAAAGGTTGCCAGCTTTCTGGAATTATCTGTTACCAGCTTCTCTTTCTCTCCCACTCTTTGTTGGTAGAAGAATTTTATACTTTTGATAACTAAAAAGCTCTACTCTAAAAATTAAGTTCTTTAAATTTAAGGATCTTGCCATGTGGAAACCTTGCATAGAGTTAACTTCCTGTAGAGGTAGCTGGATGTGTGTTCACTTGTCCCCGGGTGGATGAGTGGATCAGTTTCTAGCATTGATTTAAGTGCAGGAGTGCTAGAACTTGTCCATTTAGACTTTTGAGATTTGAATTGAGCCATTATGTCACATATCAGTTTAGGAGCCTATTGAAGATGTTGGAGATATTCTGAGATTGATTCAACACTTGCTTAATTGAAGCTGGATTATGATTAAATCAGCCTTTGATGGTTAAGGCTAATTTACCACCTTGCATTTGACTGTTAGCCATCATGACTGCATGGCCTCTAGAAAAGGTGCGTCCAGGGGTCCCAGGTAGTGTTTCTAGCATAGTCCAGACAAGAAGGTATCTTGACTCAAGAATACAAGTTTCTGGTTGTGCAAATGTATATGGTCAAGGGGCCAACAGTATCCAGAGTTTGAAGGAAGAGTGCTCATGGTTGCCATGGCACCCTGCCCTGTTTGTATTCTCTCTGGAGTCCTCAGATCCACTCTCCTCTCCACTGCCCTGTGGTATGCTCTGGGTGATGGACCCTGCAGTTGGTGCTCTGGTTCCCTTGATGGCTGCAGTGGAGCTCACAGATAGAAGTAATTGCTGGGTGGAGAGAGAGGTTGGGGCCTTTTCTCCCACTCTTTCCTGCTATTCTGCTGTTCTCTGGCAGTAACTGCATCCCTCCACAACTAGGACTCCCATCTAGAGGCCTCCTGCACAGTCCCAGCTCTCACTGGGCTCCAGTAACACTGTTTTCTCCCCTTTCTCTGCATCTGTAGGGCTGTTGCTAGTTCCTGGGTGCCTCACAAAGAGACACTGTTTTCTCCCCTTTCTCTGCATCTGTAGGGCTGTTGCTAGTTCCTGGGTGCCTCACAATCCCTCGTTGGGTCCCTTTTCCCTGCTCTCCCCTCTGTAAACAGTCCTTTCAGTAAAGTCTCAACATCTGGGTTGAATTCTGTTTCTTATTAGGATCCTGCAGAAAATACTCCATGTTCTTGGTTGCCAAAAGTCTAGGTCATTGACTTCTTAGCTTCCCCGGTTCTGATCTCATGCTCATCTAGCAACCATCTGAAAGTAATTAGTCATTCCTTGTGCGTTTATCTTCAGGAAAGGAAGACATACTCTACCAGTAGCAGAGTATGTCAGCCTGCTGGTTGGTTATATTTCTCACTGTAAATCAGTAAGCTGGCATTCTGAAAAGTACATCAGGGTCTCATGATTTAGTTAGCATGAGTCCATTTTTGGAGAACAAACTAAAGACCACAAACAAGTTTTTGGTGGTTTGATCAAAGTCAGACTTTGGGAGATTTTACCTCAAAGCCCCTGGCCTTACACAGCTATGTAGTCACCTCTTTTCCCATTTATGTCTCTGGTGATTTCTTCTCAGTCTCCTTTGCTGATTCATCCTTCTCTGGTGAGCAGCCTTCAAACAGTGCAGTTGCTTGAAGCCGTTTTCTCCTCATTCCATGGCCTCTCCCTTGGCAATCTCACACACATGCATAGTCTCAGTTACCATCTTGATGCCAGTGGCTGCTGGATTTATCTCAAGCCCACACCTCTCTTCCAAACACAGGGCCCTGTGTCTGACTCCTACTTGGCATTTCTTCCCACTTTTTTCATGATCATTTCAAATTCTAAATGTGTGTTCCAGTCTAATCAGTTTAAGACCACCAGGAACGGACCTGCAGTCTGACAAGGTTAGGTTTGTGGCCCATTGCAGTGAGGAAGACCACACACACAGTGGAGAAACTGTGGGACACCTCACCAAACAAAGACGATAGAGTTGTTACAGTACTTGGGTACAGGGTGGAATTTAGGTGAAATGTAAATGAAGCAGTGTTTTGGTGGGCTCAAAGCAAACTAGAATTGTGTGTAAAGGGATCAGTGTCAAGTCTGATTGTCTGACCCAGGTCCCGTTTCTTTGAAAACTACAAAGTTCAGATAGATGTGGAACATTGTGTTTAAAAATCCCTCATTTGGAGTTCTGCAGCTAGTTGGATATCAAGGCTGCTGTTCTTTTTTTTTTTGTCCTTTTTGTCTTTTTTCGTGACCGGCAACGGATCGCAACCCTCAGTGTCTTGCCCGTACCGGACCGGGACCGGCAACGGGATCGCAACCCTCGGTGTTGCGCCCGCACCTCGCTCAGCCAGTGAGCCGCTGGTCTGTATGTGGGATCCGAACCCTTGGCGGGAGCGCCGCCACGCTCCCAAGCGGCGCACTGTAGCAGTGCGCCACCGGGCCGGCCCAGGGCTGCTGTTCTGTCATACTGACTTAGATCCTGCAGGCAGGGGTAGGATGTTTCCTTACTGGTATCATTTCAAATAGCAAAGTTTATGAGAGTCTGGGATTTTACAGAATGAAGTTTCCCAGTGAATTAGAAGTCAGTAGTCACTCAAAGAAGGGATCATTATGATACTTTACAGTTGCAGTATCCTTGGGAGACATATTATTTCCTGTTAACTTGGCTGTTGGCTCTATCTGTGTGTGTTATCCTAGCTGGCATCTGTTTTTACTTTTTCACATCTGACTCATGATATCCCTTCCCCTACCCCCGTGCCACACTGTCCTGACTAAGCCTCTGTAGAGCACCACCACCCAGACTAGAGACCTAGAAGTCTTGTTACCTGTCTGTCCTCACTACTTCTCCTGAAACCTGTCCACCAATGAGTCCTGTACATTTTGCCTTGTAGATGCATCCTGAATTCATCAGCCTGCCTCTGTCTCCACTGCCATATTTTGCTTAAACCCTGCACTTGCTTCTTCTCGGCAGCATTCACTCATTGCCACTCTCCAGTACATTCTATACACTGTAGCCTGAGTAATTTTTAGCAATTCATTCTGATCATGCCATTCCCCAGCTTAAGTCTTCAGCTTCTCTTTGCTCTGAGGATAAAAACCAAAAAGCAAACAAAAAACCGCCAAAACCCACTATCACCAAAAAACCTAAATCAAACCAAACTATGGCTAAAAGGCTTTATATTATGGAGCACAGCTCTGCCCAGAGGTGCTGTCTAATCTGACTGCGTAGACACTGTGCTCCTTTTAGATATTGTCATGGCACCCTGCTTCTTCAAACATCGTGGTTTAGTTCTCATTTTACGTTACAAGTTGGTGGGAGGGCGGGGCCCCTGTTTTTGCCTACCATTATATACTCTGCCTGGCTGAGTATTTTTTTTTTTTTTAAGATGACCGGTAAGGGGATCTTAACCCTTGGCTTGGTGTTGTCAGCACCACGCTCAGCCAGTGAGCAAACCGGCCATCCCTATATAGGATCCAAACCCGTGGCCTTGGTGTTATCAGCACCACACTCTCCCGAGTGAGCCATGGGCCGGCCCTTCATTTGGCTTTTTAAAAATGCTAGTTCTGTGATGAAATTCTCTTGTTACCTCTTTTCTGAGTCTTTAATCACAGTTATTTTAAAATCTGTGTCTGGTAAATCCAATATCTGGATCATCTGTGGGTTTGCTTCTGTTGTCTATTTTTCCTCTTGGTAGGCCTGGTAATTTCTTATTGTGCAACAGATTTTTGTTTTTTTTAAGTGAAAACTTGTAGAGGCTCTGGATAATGGTATTTTTCTCCAGCAAGGATTTTTTTCCCCTTAGATTTTGTCACTCAGTTAGAATAGAGTAAGAGTAGATCACCTTAATCTCATTAGGGATTGAGCTGATTCACAGCTAGTTTCAGTCTTAGTTCCAGCTGGCCATTCTAGTTCATTCTCATTCTTAGGGCATTATTCCTTCAAGGGGGCCCAGCTGAGAGCTCGAGGTGTTTACAAGAGCCCTTGCACCTTGGCAGGCCTTGACCTCCAGCCTCTCTCTCTCCTTGGCAGCTTGGCCTCTTCCTTCACTGCTTCCATGGCCTCTCTGGTGCCACTTACAGATTGCTGAATGCCTTGAGGGGAGAAATGGCTCTGATGTTAGCTCATTTTTCTATGCTTCCATTTTCTTCAGGATCATGGCTTGCCTTTAAGTGTTGGCTGTCTGATAGCCCTGCACTTTATTTTTATTTCTCCAGCCCCAAGAGACTGTTGGATGTTCTACAGAGCTTTGCTGCTGTGCTGCTTTTGAATGTGCAAATTCCTAAGGGAAGAGTGGGGTAGAGTGTTGCACCTGGTCGCAGTAGCATGTTTTCCTCTCCTCTGAGTCTTGGTCTTCAAGACCTGCCTGACTTACTGGCTCTCAGATACCTTCAAGTGGTTCTTTTGTTCTTTCAGTTCAGCTTTTCTAATTATTCTTTGTGGGAAGATTGATCTGCTGCATCACTTTCATAGTTGAAAATGGAAGTCCTTCCATGTATTGTCTTTATTTTTATTTATTTTTTATTTTTTTGTCCTTTTTGAGACCGGCTGCACCGTGCTCACCGGTCATCCCTATATAGGATCCGAACCCGCGGCGGGAGCGCTGCTGTGCTCCCAGCGCAGCACTCTCCCGAGTGCGCCATGGGCTCGG